AATTTGTAAGCACAGTGAGGTAAAATGGATAAGTAACAGCCAACATCAATTTGTTAAGAACGAATTATATCTGATCAATCTAATTTTCTTCTCACTATTGTGTGTGAGAGAGATTGTAACTGTAATGAGATTTTTTTTTTTAATATATTTTCTCATGTCTTTTTGTAAACACAGTAGAGAAATCTGTTCTGGTTAGCAAGATTACTCTCATGTCCTTGTAAGTCTTAGGCTTTGCTTTTCTTTACAGATTAGTGTAAGGTAGTGAATGTTTTTTGATTATGCAGGTAGGAGTGCGAACCTGAGGACCACTAAACACAGTTACAGAAGCATCCTGTGCTCAATGAATGTGCTGATGTGCTGTGAAAAATTCACAATGTTAAATAGCCTTTAAAATATCTGATTTCATAGTTGAGCAGTTTCACAGTAGGCTGCAGCCTAAAGGAGTAGAAACATATGTTCAAGATATTTTTAAAGTTTTTTTTCATACTGTGTATGTTACTAGTGAGCTTTTAATGAATGAAGAATTGAATTAAAGCACTTTAAGATTATAAAATGCACTGCAAAGATGTATTAGATATTGTTACTGAAATTGTGAAAATTAAAGATTGAGTGAAACATTTGCTTTCTGCTTTGGAATAACAACCTCTCATACAGGAAAATGGTATGTGGTATGGATTTTCCCTCAATCAACCAAATAGATTTTCTGAAGATGTAATTTTCTACAGTCTATGTGTTGGTTGAATCTTTGTTATGCTGCCTTTAGGAACTAAAATACAATAAATATACACAATAAAGGTATTGTGTATACCTATACACAAGCTTACTGATTTATACCGGTTGTATTCTATTATGGATAAAAGAGTCTTCTGCTCAAAGGACATCTTTGCAATGTATCAAATAAGGCCTGAAACATTGAATGTGTTTAATGTTAATAAAGAGAGTAACTGTAGACAAAGATATACATAACTGGAACTACCAACTGCCAGAAAGGGGTAGGTAGCAGGATCTCCAGCAAACACTGAAGCTGAATTTCCCAAGCCATGGGGCTAGGTTCTGTCATAGCACAGTTTGTGATAGTTTCATTGGGCTAGCCCTTGGCTAGCAGCCAACACAGCCGTTCACCCACTTCCCCCACCCCCAGGGGATAGGGGAGAGGATTGGGGGGCAAGGGTAAGGAGACTTGTAGGATGAGATAAGAACAATAATTAAATAATAGAAATAAAAGAAAACTATTAAAATCGTAGTGATAATGATAACAGTAACAAAATATGCAAATAAGTGATACCCAGTGCAATTTCTCACCACCCACTGACCAAGTCCGGCCCGTTCCCAGATAACGATCCCAGAGGAGTGACAATCCTGACCCAAAACTGCAATCCCAGAAGAGCGAGAGCCCGAGCAAAAGCCAGAGAGAGCTAAAAAAGGAAGAGACCCGCACTACTATACTGGACATGACGTGATATGATATGGAATATCCCATTGGCATATCCAAATGCCAGTTTAGCTTATTAATTTAAGTATTTCTCACCCCCTTAGATCTTTCGCTTGTAGACTAACAGAGCACAAAGTCCTTCACTTCCAGTGACAAAAATGCAGACACTGGTGTGTTATCAGTGTCTCTCTCATAACAAGTCCCAGGCTGAAAGCAAAATGCACTATTCTAGCTACTAAAAAGAAACCAGCTCTGTCCCAGCTAAAAACCAAGACAGTTACAGCATGGGAAGCAGCAAATTCTGCTCATAGTAGTAAAACACACTAAAATAAAGTTTCTATGGAAAGGTGCTAAGAGTTGAATGCATTGTTTCAATGTACTGAATTGCATGAGCTATTTTGTCCTATATCATCTTCTGCAGTGATCTGTTCCATCTCTCACGTGGATATTTTTCCTAGGTTTCTAAGATTCTGAAAGATTTATGGTGACAGACGTTTCATAACTGTGTAGAGAATGTGCCTCAACACTTCAGCCCTGCAATCCTAATACCTAAAAGGGAAGGGCTTAAGAGAAGTATTCATATAAATGTTAGGAAAATTCATTTTGCTGGGTTTAGGCATGTTTGTAGGGCAAACAACCTGATTTTGATTCTGTATATTGTGCGTAAGTTTCAGTTCTAGCAATAGGAGAGTTTCCTTGCTGTACTGTTATGATACTTTCCTTTTGAGTATTTTATCTACTGCTGCTTTGCTCCCCTGCTCTTCTTTTCTATATTCCAGCCTTTTTCTCATTTTCTGTGACGTGGCAGTAGAATCCAATTCACGTATGCATCTAATGACACCAAACTCTTCAGTTTACTGAGCTTTCAAAAAGAGACATTTGATTTAATTTCACTTTGGGGGTTGGGAGAGAATGAGAGTTGTATTTCAAAGTATTAACTGGAGAACCTGGGCTTTTAAGATAATGTAGTGTGATTGCTCCTCAGACCAGTCAAAATCTAGCATGATTATTATCTGCATCAAACATTAAGGTACCAGCCTAAAGCAGGAAAAGGAAGGAGCTTAGAGAGTAGAGAGGTGAAGTTGTGTGCATGAATTTTATTTATTAATACGCTAATGTAGAATTCATAGCACTGAGATCATTACAGTGTAATTCTATTAGTGACTGTCACTGAGAGCTTTTGGATAAATATCAGACTTTAGAAAACAAGAAAAGGGCAAACAAAGTGCCCACTTCTGTCTTTAAAAGAGGAGGAGATGGAGTAGGGAGTTAGAGGATTTTATTTTCTGGAGTAAATATTGAGCAAATTATTGAGTTACTTGGAAGTAGCTGGGGATGACATTAAGATGGAATAATTAATATCAAATTATGCTAAACCAACCTTCTTTCTGTGGAAAAGGTAACAGATCTTGTAGTTAGTACATGAAATACATCTTGAATGTAGTGTACATCTTTGTTGGTTGCATCTTACCTGACTTTCTCATGTCTTAGGCTAGAGAGCAGAATGACAAGAAAAATGTATGCACTGTAGAAGAAGCTGTTTTCACAAGTCTTGTGGAGGTAAAACCAGATCTCAGTAAAGTCAGATTAATAAGTAATGTTTGTCAGAAGGTTAGTTGGTGAGCTGCACTGGATCACTTATGTATATGTCTAATGCCATTTGGACAATACACTTTATGGAGAATTGTGACTGCCTTGATGCGTCCTTTGTGAAGCTGTTTGACAGGAAGAGTACAAGTAGGCTACAGAGAGTTTTGCTAATTTCTAGCTGCAGTACCATTAAAAACTCATTGATTATACTCCCAGAGTATTTATTAAACTAGGTACTAGTAGGAACCAAATTCCTTGGGAGCAAACTGCTATTAAACTGACTTGTGAGCCTCCATGGGGAAATTCAGTATTTTTCTCAGATGCTGTGGATAAGAGGAAGATGCATGTGGATGTCCAAATGATGCATGGTGATGCTGTAGATGAGAGCATTATCTTGTTGCTCCCATAACTGATAATTTTAATACTTTCTTCCTTCCCTATGGAGTCTTTTCTTTTCCTTCTGTAGCTGTTGGGGTACTGAAAGCTCCCATGGTGAAAGATGGTCACTCTTGCATATGACTTGTAAAGAGAACCTCTGCTGCCCTTGTGACTTTTTTCTCTTTTTGGAGAAGGAATTTACAGACTAAATTAAGTCTTTCCCTCAATAGTGACAGAGGGGCCCTTTAGATCTTGCATGGGTAATTGGTGGAGAAACCATTAAAAAAGAACAAAAAACCCCCACAAACATAGAACAACACTCACCCCTCCCTTACACTCCCTCCAATCTATTTTCCTTGACACTGCTAGCTTGAAGATCATGTATGATGAAGTAAAGTCTCTCTCTTCTTTTCTTTAAATTGAATAAATAAATAATTTCACAAGTCTTAGCCTCTTGATTGTGTAAGTTGAGTTCAGCAGATGGGCAAAATGGAACTGATGATGAAATAAAATAAATTGACTCAAAATCCTAAAGTAAGCATAAAAATGAATGTTTTTTAGTATTGTCCACTTAACAGTACGTATTTACAACCATCACTAATGTTTTTTTAGCTCAAAGCATTTTCAGTTGTTCAAGAAAGCCTATCTTAAGACAACTCTCACTTGCTGAAAATGTAGATTAATGAATAATTTAAGAAGCATTTGTCATAGCATTTTAAAGGTTCTTTTTGACTTTGCAGTGCCTTCTTCACTGTGGCTTAAAGCGGTAACTTTATTGAATGTAGATCTTTATATGTGATGTGTAGAATATAAAGCACAGTTGAAACTGTGAAACCAAGTGAATGTATTTATCTTGCTCCGTGCTGCTGTTCCAAAAATGATATTTCAGTGAATATGCATTAATATCATGAATTTGTTAAGATGAAAGGAAGCAGTGGACTGTGGAAAAGTCCTATAAATTAACCTAGCTGAATTCTGTTGCCTTTGAAAGTGTTGACAATCCAGTTGATACTAACCACAGGATCCTGCAGAGATTAGTGTACACAATTAAATATTAGGAACAGTGTATCCATGGGAACAGCTATTGCCTGCATATGATGGTATGCAAATTATTTCCTACTTTCAAGATGAAGTTTCGCTCCTACTTTCACAGAAAGATAAGTAAACAACCCGAGTTGTAGTATAGTTTGGGACATGGTATTTCTGTACAGACAGTATTTTGTTTAAGTTATTTTTATCCCACTGAAAGAAAGACTATGATTTCTCTGTAGGG